GAACACAAGAAAGGTAAGTAATATATATATATATATATATATATATGTGTGTGTGTGTACACGTACACGTATACATACACGTATGTATATGCTTACATGCTTGTACACGTATACATATACATATACATGTATACACACACACACACACCCACATATATATATATTTATAAATCTAGTGTAGTATAGTTGTGTTGAATCAACAGTTTGTGTGAGAGTGCACATACACGTATGCATGCATATATCCGTGTGTATGTACGTGCTTGAGTTTGTGTGTATGCGTCGCTATTTTGAAAATGTTGTCTATCGATACTTAACAAAAAACAATCGCCTATATAAATTTCAAGAAGTGCCCATCTATTCGACATACAAAACATATCATCCCCACCCCAACCATCACTATGGCAACTAACACACCTCAGTCCTATCCCATTCAGCAGCATATGGCTTCAACTCCTTCTCAGCAAAACCATCAGCCATATCCAGCAACATACGTTGATCTTCATTAAGACCATGTGCTCTATCTAATATAGAGGAAGACTGAGTTGACATGGACCGGCCGGCATATTGAACCACTTGTGCTTGTGCTCGAGCACCTCTAGTGAGTGATGTGCAACTCGTGCGGATTAGACCCAGCATTATGAAAATATAGTATAGTTAAGTAGGCTAAGCTGGTACAGACACTGCTATAAATACCTAGTGTTTGAATGAAATGTAGTTCTATATATATCGAAGTATATACCTATATAATCGACGATTATCCTAGATTCCGTGGTATATATCTATCGACTATATAGTGCTACTGGTGTATGTGTATGCTTATCGATATACCTCTACAGTCTATACCCAACACTACTTTTTATTAAAAGAGTCCAAGATAACCTTGGTCGTGCTGGATACTTCCGATTAGCCTATATACGTCTGCCTGTGTAAACATACCAAGTGAGCGAAGGTAAACACACATAAATAACAGCGACGTTTCTGCGGAGATTGTGTATATTTTCATTGGTGCAATCATGATATCCGGCCAACGGTAGTCACTAATTTATGCAATTCAAGCTTTGTAGTACCGAACTGACACATATATATATATATATATATACATATAAGTGCCTATCACATGAAGCTATGAAACAAGTGTATATTTAACAAATATATAAAATACATTTTGCGGCGGGGAAAAAACATCGCCTTCTAAATATATGACACATTGTAGAGAAATCTTGAAACCACCATAAATAGAGCCACCTACACACGCCACCATAATCAGTGCCTACACTTCCCACCTACTCATACCTAGGGGGGGGGTGGGGGGGTTACGGTACATACACT